TTGTTACTACTAGTAAGGCACTTGTTACTAGTAGCGTGGCACTTGTTCCTAGTAGCTTCTTGTTACTACTAGTAAGGCACTTGTTACTAGTAGCGTAGCAATCCCTTATTCAAATGGGTTAACACTCTCAAAAGTGGGCATATAAGCCTTGCACCAACAACATCAACGACGACAACAATACAAACAACGGTAGCAAGAGCAAACATGGCAAAGCACTTACTTCTTTGCACAGAAACCTGGTAAGTAGTAGAGGAGCACTTGTTCGTACTTGTCTCTATCCTACCAGTCTTCTGCGCAAGCAAGGTAAAGAGATAACAGACTCCCCTGCATTAAAGGTCTTCCCACATAGTAGCTTTGTTCCCAAACGTACCATATCTTCACCTCTCCAGCTCAATTCAACACACGACACTTTCTCAAGACATCCGCTCAGGCTTCTGCGAGCCATCTGCTTTGCTGGTTATCTGGCGGTTGGTGCACAGCGAAGAGCGGAGCTACCTTTCTTCGTGGGGGGTGTTCTAAAAAATTCCAAAGGCCTAACTCTGTCCCACCAGTAGAAAGAGTCTTCGTGCTGTAAGAGCACTCCAACCCAATCGGATTCTGAAAACCAACCACGCACTACCATCTGCATTGGCCAAAGTGATCCTTGTTCCTTGCATACATCAAAACGGGCAGCAGAAAGAACCAACCGTTGTCGATGTTGGTGACTCTTGAATCTGTAGGGCCTGACCTTTACAGATGGATGTTTTCAGGACCAAACGATCTCACTCAGCTCCTTAGGGTCCTTACAGCTCCTTGCTTTGTCTTCGGGATGTCTTATTCAATTTCATTCACAATATGGTTGGAGGCCATCGCTACTAGGTTCGAGGCCATTGCCAGTAGGTTGGAGGCTATCGCTATTAGGTTAGAGGCCATTTCATTCACAGTATGTACTGAGCCATGAGCTGCATGAGCACCTCCAACACCACTCGCTACCAGTTACTATCAGCTCTTCAGCCACACATGGCCACACGATGCCACATGCATCACTGTGAAATCTCATTCGCGCGCTGGGTCGCGCACGCCGTAGCCATGCTGCTTCCCCTTCTCCCAGAAACCATCGAAGCGGCGGCCGTCCTGAGCAGCTCTGTGGCACGAAATCTGAAGCTACTGGGGGCTCCTGGCCTTACTACTATAGGGGCTGGCATCGCTACTAGGAGCAAGGACGCTACTACAGTAGGGGCTCCTGGCATCGCTACTGTAACAAGAAGCTACTAGTAACCAGAAGCTTAACAAACATATCTCATCTTCCACGTGACGCTTCACCGGTTCTGCACTGTGGATGTTCTCACCCCCAAGGGGGAAGTCCCCAACTTCCAACTCTATATTAATATCTCCTCTTCTTCATGAGGGGTAACAAAAATCCAAGAAGAAGCCAGCTACAAAGAAACAACTAACATTCCAATCTGAAACTCAAGTTCAATCTCTTGCAAAGACTAAATGACTAAAGCTTGCCGAGAAGTGACCCACATGCAAAGAAGAAATCTTGCAGTTGCATCTTTCACCAACAAAAGTTAGCTGTGTCTTCCACTTCCACTTGACTAGCTTTAGACATATCTCAATCTGTAATGTTTCACCATTGCTTTGCCCATCAAGTCGATCTCTCAACGCCAACGCCTGTCCCGAATTCTCCGCCCTCGCCCGACATCTCTCCTGCCAAGTGAAGGTGCCGAAGCCATGCTTTTGATCCTCGGCATATTGGCCCTGGAACCTCAGCGGCTTGGTGGTTCGGTTGGGTTCCAAGCATTAGACTAAATGACTACATATATATTCAGACAATACAAGAACCAATGAAAGGGGACCTTACCTTCCTATTGCCATATCTAGGTTTTCCTTCAATTTCAGATCCGAGCCTTCATCTAAGCATGCAGAATTCTGGTGGTCAATCTCCGCTCAGAGTCCAGCAGAGTCCAGGAAACGGTGCGGCAGAACAGCTCGAAGCAATCAACATTCTGGTTCCATTCCATCTCTCAATACCCTATGAACAACCTGCGACCAGAGCTCAACTCTGCCCAGCCCGTGACCTTAAAAGAAATCACACCCGAGTGTCCCCAACCTTCGGCCGTCTGGCCAGGTGTATCGCCCACAGCCATGGATCACCGCTTCTCGCCACAAGCCCTGGAACTCTCGGCCATCCTTTCGAAACCAAATGAGGACAAGGCAATAGCGTCCGAACGCTACGAAGGTAGCGATGCCAGGAGCCCCTAGTAGCGAACATTGCTCCTAGTAGCAAGGCCAGGAGCTACTAGTATCTTCTTGTTCCTAGGCAAGGCAATGCAAGGCCATGGGCATCTCGCAAACACATGATACCCGTACCCGATACCCAATATTCATTGTCTTCTTGGCAAGTGTGTTCTGTGACAGAATGTTTGTGGGATCTTAGACATACCAAATCATTAATACAAACGGACTTTTTGACACATACTTGGCATCGCTACTAGGAACAAGGACGCTGACATCCTTTCGATCAAACAGGTCCTTGCCCACGTAGTGTCCATAGCCATTGATGGCGTTTGAATCCCATTGGCCCATGTACCTACCGACGGTGGCAGTGTTTGCTCTCAGCAGGAAACTCAGCAGTTCTCTTTGCGCACAAGGATCCATCTGGCCAGGTGTAAACACCTCAACAAGGCAGGTGCTGCGGCAACATTCATAGGGCGACAGTGCCTGTCGTACTCCATTGTTTCTAGTTTAGGTTGGAGGCCATTATAAGTACTGCAAGTTGGATGGAGTCCATCGCTATTACATATTGTTAGATTCCGACCTTCCAACACTCAGTTGTGCCTACCATTCTCATGTAACGCCAGAACCCTGAATGGCTGGCAACCCTCTGAATAGATGGTCCCAATCTCTTAGACAGCTTTTCTGAAGGCGACAGCACGCATGAAGTTAAGTTTCCCTAGAAATCTAGGAACCAAATCATTAGGAGCGTGAGCTATCCTGCGTCTATGCGTAGTAGTTACTGAAGCTACCAACTACCTCTAGCTACTGCTAACTACCTCCTAGCGGCCTACCCCCCACATTTGGACAGCCGATTTGCCTGGACGAATGGCACGCGTGTAGCTCGAGGGATCTCAGGACCCGACCATAGCCTTGCTTCTTGCCCCAGTGGAACCTGAGCCAAGGAACAAGAGGACGCTACTAGGAACACAGGGCATCGCTACTAGGAGCAAGGACGCTACTAGTAGCTCCTGGCATTACTACTAGTAACAAGAAGCTACTAGTAACAAAGAATAGTCTTCGCGTTTCGACTTGACACAGTAAGTGGAGTGCATTTGACACAGTAAGAAGAAGTCAGGAGTCAGATGCAGATCTTCTTTGACCTGTGAATTGTGAATTTGAACAGTTCTCTGAAAGAGAAGAATTACCTTTGAAACAATAATTGCATGCAAACACCTTTTCATTTGAAGCCATGACCACTGCGCACACCGATAGCAAGTGCCGAACGGCCGACCGAAACAAGTGCGGTGCGACCAAAGAGGGCACATTCCGACGAAACAAATGGAAGACAACACTATAGCTTCTTGTTCCTAGTAGCGATGCCCTTTGTTCCTAGTAGCGATGCCGATGCACTTTGTTACTAGTAGCTTCTTCTATAT